GGCGTCGTCCGAGATGGACTTCGCGTTCCAGTGGATCACCGGTCGCTGATGGGGGAAGGAAGAAACCGCCATGAGAAGGTTTGTCTTTCCAAAGCTGACTTCATTTCATGCAGACGAACTTCAGCAGTATCCCAAGTTGCACCGGAAATTTTGATCAATGTTGAACGAACGTCCCATTTAAGGTACTATCAACATGCATTGAACGCTTTCTGAAAATGTTTTATCGACCGGATGCATGTTTCAAATTTTGGGCGTTCAATAACAGTTCAATTTATGCACTCCCTGATCGTTCATAAAGGACGTGAATGGAATATTCCCAGACAGTACCAATGGGTTCGAAAATGTCTCATTCGGGATTAATCCGACAAGTGATTAGCATATTAGAGTCGACTTAATCATCGCATCCGACACGGAAAGATTAGTATTGGTTACACGAGGGGGGAGAGTTGTATATCCGATAACGGACTTCACACACAAGGCGAGTTCTTTCCGATAACCTGGAGAGGGGGATTCAGACGAAGCCAAGGTGATCCCACATGCCTTGTTCGCATGCGTGAACGTAAGCCCGTTTCGGGTTAATCCGCCTCTCCTCTCACCTCGTGTAAAGTATTCAACCTATGGAATACCATAGGGGAGGATGAGAGTGAGAGTAGGCTGAGCACATCGGGCCGCACTATAACCTCGAAGAGGACCTTTTTCTACCTCCCCCCCTCCCTTACCCCCGCCGTACATAATCCGACCCTTGCAACCTTGAAAGGTGAAGGATCCTCGCTCCGTCCTCTGAAGCCAGCGTTTTCGAGAGACTCATTGGGCTGGGTTACCTCTTCCGACCGATTTCTTCAACATTTCGAATGTCGTCCCATCTGGTTTCTGAGGGGGAATGGTCGGGCACCGTTTGGAAAGCATCGGGGACTAATCCCAGCTGTATTTCGGGTATTCACACTACAAAGCGGCTTCTTTGGCGCCATCTGGCGTCGGTTGCGCGAACCTCTGTTCGAACACACAGTGGTTCGGCTATGGCTATCTATGCTTAAAGAAAACGTTTTATTAAACGTTCCACGAATGTCCAAATGCATCAGGGATTGGCGATCGAACTGCAACCTGATAGGGCGCTAAAAAGCTGGTCATCTGTGAACTTGGGACGTCTCAAAACCTCTTTTAACAGGGATTGAACGTGCTGAACGTTCGTGTGCTCGGGATCGAAAAACGCATAAACGAAACGACCAACCACGCATCCTCTCCACTTCTCGATGAGAGTCCCGGCGTCGAAGTCCAGGCGTTGATCGACGATGGCTCGAGCCCTCGGATCCGTCGGGTACAGGGAATCGTCCTTCCCGTACGCGTTAAACAGGTAACGCATGATTGCCCGGCTGGTCGAGTCCGAGAGGGTCCATGGATGAAATCAGGCAACGGAGAGGAAAAAAATGAGAAATTTCTCGAATGGCTTTAACTCAAGTCAGGACAGTAAATAAGAATAAAACTGCGAAGGAAACGAAGCAAACTTTACACGAAATGGTGGATATGGCTCGATTCGACTAGTCAGATGGCTTAATATTTCGCACGTATCAGCACGAAAACCCCTGATCCCATTGATGGTTATGACTTCATCTCAGAGTCACAGATTGTGGGATGCTATCACATAAAAGTGAAAAAAATTGCATGACGTAAAGTCGTTCCAAAACTTGAAGAGGCACACTTTTCACGACGCGATAGTACCGTACAGGGTGTCCCATAAGTCCGTCATCACAAGAAAAAATTCATATTTTTTCTATATCTACATGCCATAATGTCTCTGAGCAAGGAAGAACGAATCCAAATAATTCGACCCATAGGAAATCGGATTCTTTTAATCTGTACCTTGCTTTGAGGGTAGCACAACGGAAAGCTACTCCTTTCTAAATCACGCGCATTAAAAATTACTCGAAGTTTTGAGCTGCATAAAATCACTTGACGATCCGTGATGCCGTGTGGCTTCCTTGCTTTAGAACCGTTTTAATGGGGATCAAATCCTCTTCTCTAAATGTTTCGCTCGCAAAATGAGATCGCGACGCGTGGATCGAGTGGCCGTTATCGGTGCGGGACTCTGCAAGGCACCCTGTGGCCTGGTACACAGGCGGCGATGCGATCCGTTTCCAATATTTCCGTCTCGGTTCTGCGTGGGCCCGAGAAGAGTGACGGGCTCGAGGATGTCCTTCGTCGTGAGTCGTACGTGTTCACGGACATGCTAACCGGGCGAATTCCTGGGCCTGTGACCTTCCCAAGGTGGCTCATATCATCGTCATCATCATCGATACAACATGATAAAAGCTGATGTGAGACCGAGGTGCTAGTGGTCGGTGGCATGCACGCGTGCATAGCGCGACTCAGTGCAATAGTCAATAGTCTCATCGTAGCCAAAGACCGTCGGCCGGAAACGTCCCCGGCGGGTTCTCGTTTCTGCAGAGCATCGTGAGGCCTCCATTAAAAGTCCTTATTCCACATTAGTCTACAAAGCGACGATGCTAAGTTAATTTAGTAAAGGAGCCTTATTGTTTGGTCTGCCCTTCGTCTTCGCTCGGCGTCGCTTCTCCTTTCGCCCCGACTTTGCCATGACCACGAACAAAGCGCAAGGCCGAGAGATAGATGAGTCATTTTTCATTTCGTCGAGGATCATTGCACAATTAGGAATTCCATTTTATGAAGAATGAAATCACGGACAAGGAAGAGTCCATGTTGGGATTTGAGGCTTTCGGGAGTCGATCATTCCGAGAACAAACGGAAGTCACGGAACGCAACATTAATGCGTCCTTTAAAGTGTGCAGTACGAACGCCTCCCCGTTCTCTCACGACCAGAGAGAGACCAGGTATCCAGAGAGACCGCGAGTCATCCGGAATCGCAAGGGACGTCATCCTTTGTACGGCATCCCTCAGGATTTCCCCTTGGGCAACCCTCCCTTCCCTTGTACGCGTGGAACAGAGGGATAGTTTCCATGAGAACGCCCATGCCTTCCCCCTGCAACCACCCCCTCCCCTCCCCCTGCAACCACCCCCTCCCCTCCCCCTTCCTCCCAAATCCATTTGTCTGTCTCCGACGTGTTGGGGCGGAGCTGTTTCGATTCCAACGCCTTCTTCGAGCGCGATGGATGATGGGGATGAATGCCTTTCTGATTTTTTTTCCTCATCTATTCCACAGACTTAACAGGCTTCATTCCTGCGAGGAATCTCTTTATATTGACGTTATGATGAGAAAAAAATAATAATTTGCACGCAATCAGCATCAATTATTATTTGTGGTGTTCTGTTTGTTAGGCTTCATTGAGAAATATATACACTACACTCGGCATCACTCATACGCTCAAACCAGACTCATTCATGATCAAGAGAAGTCTGATTTCCATTTGAAAAAATTAATCAGTTGTCGACGCCATCATAGCCGTGTATTCAATCATGTTCCTTTCAAGCGAAATTTTCAAGCCCTAGCATTAATCGTTTTACTCCGTTAACCCATTATTCTCGGCCCTAGTGATTCTCTCTGCCAAGTTGTTCACGAAATTTCTTAATGTCTTATAAATGAAAATTCCCCGTCCTTCTCGCCCCTGCCCAGCATCGCGAATGGTTTGTATTGGGGTCCTATTCGTCGGCTGCCAAGTCGCATAAATGCATGTTTTTGGCTATTTTTGCCGATCGCTATTGGTGAAACTCGATGGAGTGAAAAAAAAAGGGGAAAGCGAAGCAATTCCCCTTAGTGGATTTTTTGCAATTACCTTTCGTAGAGAATGAATCCATCGTCGTTGAGGGTGGGGACGGTCTGCAAGGGATTCACCTGCCGGAGAGAGAGAATCGGGTTCAAGCCTCGACAACTTCTCGGCTGAGAATGGAAAACCTGGGAGCTGCCGCCCGAGACCCCAGACGAACTCTGCGCACCTCGCGGAACTCGGGAGTCTTGTTGTCGCCGGTGAGGAGGCAGACTTCCAGGAGGTTCAGCCGGACGCCGACGGCCTTGCCCGCCAAGAGGACGGCGCGGCACGGGGGACTCGGCAGGAAGTAATACAGGTCCAGAGGCATCTGCGCTCNACCCACCCCATAAAAGGAAAGAAAAAAAAACAACCTCCAGAGAATCCGCTTCGTCAGGTGATAGACATGACCACCCACGCTCTACATACCATGGAAGCGCCCCAATAAGGGGGAGGGTCCATGAAAACAGCGTATCCTTTGGATTGTAGATCGGTTCGTCTATCCCCATGTTGGGGATCCCTGTACTATAAGCACAAGATCTACTTCTCTGGAGCGCCCTCTAGGCTTTCTCCAAATAACTCTCCCCTCTTTCCTGTACGGGGCAGATCGAGGCAAGAGTGCAAGTCACGAGCCCGCTTCGATTGAGCCAGTCAGGATGGCCGCTGCCGCTGTAGTGACCGGCCGGTGTACCGTGCTCGTTTCTTCGCCTTCATCGTGAGAGGGTTTTGTCGATGGGCTAGGACTTGCTCGAACTCGAGGCATATTCGTAGGCCGGAGTCTGGAGGTAGAAATGATATCCATGTTTTTCCGTGGGCCTAGGTACTCGTCGAAGAACCTCCGATGCCATGAGGGGAACCGAAGGGAAGAGTTGGAGGCCGAGGGGGAAAGGCAAGGTCCGACCTCATCACAAGAGGAAAGACTTCCGCCTCAAGACGAACATAAATCCATCCGATCTTCCAGGTCTCGTCAAAGGTCTGAATGACGTCTCGCTGTAGACTCTGTTCACTTGTTCGGTAGGATGCTCATCTAACGTTAGAGGTGGCATGAAGGGACTAAGCCTGCGTTGCAAGTGAATTGACACCCCTATTGGCTGGGGATTCCTAGCCTAATGATAGTTTCCTTTCATGAAATATATTCCTATATCTTGCTGCTTGAAACATGGAAATATCATGCTTAATGTTATAAATCAAACAAAATTCATTTGCTAATCGCATTATGGATTTCTGGTCATATGAGCACCTAGGGTTTGGCTGCCAGGCTGATCCTCGTATAATTCTCCTCAGCCTATGGGTTTTTAGGAATTTTAGATGGCTTATAGGCCTCAGGAATGATAAACTGCTTTCAGAACCTCTGTGAGACCTCCAAGGCAAAGTGGAGGCATATAGCACGATATAGCAGGCTTTGTCATTGTGTGATATATATACTTCTAGTTTTCTTGTATAACCCGTTTAATTCCAAGTTGCTGATATATAGGCCGAAGAGTGGATTTATCATTATCTTGCAATTAAGCAAGTTAAAGGTATCAGTAGGACAAAATTGGCAGAAGGAAGAGTTTTCCCAATAAGTGGTATTTAGGCCTGAATTATTCCTGGAACATATAGGACAAGGAAACAAGAGCTATTGTTATTACATTATATGACAATAGTGAATGTATTAGCTTTTATGCCCTCCTGCTTGGAACACAAGGCAATTCTCAGGAATTAATTAATATAACTCTCTAAAAAGCTGTAATTTTTCTGCTGTTGTCACAATAATTTGATAATGAGATCTGCTTCTGCACTTCATGTCATTCATTCTTGTTTATCCTGATGTGCAGCAATCTCTGAAGTCAAATTAAGATCTACTTCCCATTACTGGCTTGCATATTAGAAAGGCTGCCTTTGATAGCCCACATAGTATTCCTTGTGCATACATGAGTGAATTATTGACTTGTAGTGTTTAATATTTGTACAGGGAAACTATAATCATAAAGATGGCATCATCATTGGTGGAGGGGTTCATTATCTGTCACCTTGAGTGAGGTTGATTTTAACCCTCTCTTTCTGCCAGGTGCCACAAGCAGGAAGTCCCGCATCCGATACGATGACGATAGGTTATCGGAAGCACATCCAGATGATGTGAAAGATTCCAAACAGTTCTCCATTAGGAAGGTGTGTTTGAAACCTACATTTTTCTCTCTGAGCTAATTATATTGTCATAGTGCAAGAAGATATCCCAATCTGCTAAATGGGGAGGGAGATGGAAATTGGAATTCCCTACATACCATGCCATGATATCTCTTTCTTTTTGTTGCTTTGCCATTGAGTTGTTGGTTGATAGGGATATGATTTAGGTTTGGGTAGTGTAAGCTGACATTGCATTCTTTATGTAGAGATGAGGTATTAGCAGGAATATTATTTCCCTGCAGCATTGAAGGGTCAGCACCTGTTAATGTTGATGATGTGAAGGCTGCCTTTCCAGACTTAGAGTTCCTTGTCAACACTTGCATCGATGACCTCAGACCATGAGTTTTCTCCAGTGCCCAGATTTTGATTCGATCGTTTGATCGTGCCGAGACAGTAACGACTATTTGATCCATCTGAGTAGTCCAAAAAATTGCACAATGGTGAGACTGATCTTCAAGTCAGAGGAGGATGTGGCAGAGATCCTGAGTAGGGAAGACTTGCCTTTCATAGTTTCTAGGGAGGTCAAGGTGCAGAAGATGAACAATGCAATCACCCCACCTCTGTCTCACAGGATGGATCCATATCAGTGAGTTTCTTTTCTATGATCAGGAGTTAACAGACATTCACTCCAGTTGAAGGATGATTTCAAGTCATTTTTGAGTGCAACAACCATTTCAGACACCGTATTAATTAAGATAACTCATCTGCAGAAGTTTTCATTGCAAAATGCTTCTACAAAAAGAATCCAAAGAACCATGCTGTAATGAAAGAAAAGGTATGTTTGGCCTTTTCATGTACCTTGTACATTACTAGGCTTCTAATATATATTTTTCTTGTTATCAGCAGCCTTTTTCTGCCCATTGCTTGAGAAATGTATCCCAATAAAAATGACTTTTCATGCTGTTGTTAACAGTTCCAATTCATATTACTTCTTGAAAGCCTATTATTTCTTGTTCGTATTCCTTTATTGGCTGTTAGGAGTAATTTTTCTTTCACTCATTTTCCTGCTAGCATGCTTGATGTCCTTGGCTTATGTCTGTCCACTCATCTCAAGAAGTTTTTTCTTCTTTTTACTAAAACTAATATGTAATATGCAATTGCCATTGTGTAGTGCTCATTTCCAGGACTTCCTTGCATAATACTCCAAGCCCTAGTGGTCATGATGCTTTGCATTTCCATCAATTTGAAGCATATACATTATCAATGATGCCATTCCAGGTTGCAAGTGTCCAACTTACCGGAAGATGTGACCAGGTCAAATTTGAAAACCCTATTCCCAGAAGCTGTGAAATTTCGCATCGTCGATGTCGATGGGTCCATGTAAGTCGTCCTTGGTTCAGCTACTTAGATAAGTGATCATGAGATAGACTGTAGGATAGATGTTGCTTCAATTCCTGAAAGAACATCCTATTAGTCTTTCCTTTTCATTCCTTCTTCTGAATCCCCTACATTGCTCTCAATTCTCATGCATGTAAAATCAGTACAATAATTACAATAAGAGACTTTAGTTGATGGCCTCTCTAGCAATGAAGCTTCTCTCTTCCAGTACTCAAGGTCATGGTACCTTAGAATGTCTAAACCATGAGGATCATGGTGTTGAGGCTAAGGAATTGAGTTCAGTTGGGTCATGTGGAAGTATCTATATTTACTCTGAATGCTGACAGGACATAAGTAGGAACAGTAAATTTCTCCCTCTGACTGAGTTTGAATGGTGGTGTCATTGAAGGAATGTAACTGCTAGTGCCTATTGTGTTACCATTGGTTTGCAGTTGCCAAGTAGGCCTAATTATTTATGGCTCATGTAATGATCTTAAGTTTTCAAATAAGTAATTTTTTTTACAATTTTATAATGGGAAAATATAAAGGCCATTTCATACTGTGTTTTTATGCTCTGTTTCCACATACTTCAATGTATGCCTTTGCATGAATGCTCAGTTGCATCTGAAAGTATTTGCATTTTTGTCTGAGTGCATCCACATTTATATGGTGAGGTACACAATTTTTATGTGAAGGAAAAATATTCACATGTTGGTGTGCTTTCTCTTTATCAGTGGGTCCTTGTGGATACATGTGAACATGAGTGTTACTTTGCCTTTGAATGTGGGTGAATATATGTAGAATAAAGGAAATTAAGTGGTCTGAAATATTGGATATCGTTTCAGGGCAGAAGTACTTAAAGAAGTGAAAATCATGTTTTCTCATTTTTATTTTTCTATTCATATCCCTAGATTTGAGAATTGCTTTCTCCATATTGGCTATCAAGTATGGGGTTAGATTATTGGAATCTCAGGAAAACTTCACAATGTTATATATCTAGCAGAATTGCATGCCCTGTGCATTGCATACAAGAGACACAAAGTGTGTTTAGGCAGTCAGAATTGTATTGAGGTGATGGAAGTAGAAATTGCAAGTAAACATAGGTTTGATTATGAAAAATCAAATATTTTATTTATTTTCATCAGAAAAATCAATAATTAAAAGCTATTTCTGATTGTTACCTATGGATGGTTTTCTTCCTAGGCATGGCAACCTGCTCTACACAACCATGTATGATGCAATGGCCGATTTTGTGAGGGGTGAGAGCCTGTTTGTGAGTGGTTGGCCAGCCCTGGTCACCTTCTCTCCCTTCAGGTATGTTAATGTGAAGAAGATCCTCATGGAGAGTGGGAAACGAGCATCCGTGAACCTCGCCCAGATAAATCACAACCCCTTCAAGAGCAAGGATTATGAGGAACTCAAAAAGGTAGGCTTTAAAAAATTGTCCTTTATAGTGCTCATTCCTATTGTTTTAGGGAGGGGGAAGCCAGCTGGCTTTACTTGTTAAGTCAAATATTACCGAAGCACACTATCACAAATTTATGCTGTATTCCATTCATCTCTGGTGAAGTCTGCATGAGACATGTTAACATGGGGAAATTGTCGCATTGATTGTGATTAGGTCAGAAAGTGATTATGATTACTCTTTGACATGATTATCTCACTAATACTTAGGCCTGCATCTCAGAAAAATGAGATATGGCTGTACTTATACAAGGTATGTTGCAAAAGTTCTAGGACTGAATTTCATTTAAAAAATCGGGAGCTATTCATGTGATTCCTCTTATGTATGTGTGAAGTAGAATCCCCAACTTCCATACAAGTTCTGACATGTTCATTCCTGTGAAGGCATGGACAGCATGCTTCCCTGTTGATGTCTGCTTGCAACCTTTTTTAAGTTTTAGTCAGGGGATGGACTGTTTTGGTTTTGGGTTTTGACAGTTTTTGACCTAAAAACAAGTCACTGTCTTGCCTCATGTACTGTATTCGTTCGATTTGTCACCACCAGACTTTTTCTGTTTCCATGACTCAAAAGCCATGAAAGGCCATTGCTATGCGAAGATTCAACACATTCAAGCATCTGGGATAGAGTTCATGAATAGTTCTTGAACAATATTCATGAAGATGACTTCTAAACTTCCTTCAACAACCTTCAGCAAAGCTGGCATCAGTGGATTGATGCAGAGGGAGATTACATTGAAGGGGAAAAGTGCCATTAGTTTGTAAGTACCTTCCTTTTTTCATGACATCAGATCTGGAACTTTTGCAACATACCTTGTATAACAAAATGGCAAGCCCCTCATTTTCAACATGCCCCATCAAGCCTTTCCCAGGGAGGGAAATGCAAACATTTAGAGAATGTTGATGTGATATTATGCCCACTCCAGGAAAAGGGTTAAGATGTATCAAGATCTAAAGCTCCTATATTCAGGACTTAATGCCTACAGGTGGTTCAGGCAGAGTTGGCCCATTCAAATATGAAATTCTTGCTACTCATGACTTCTACATATGCCTGAGAACCAACATATCCAACATATGCAATCAATTGACTCTCTTCCTACCTGGCCTTTAACCTGCTGAAGAGAAAGTGTAATTCCCAATACTTCAATTGGTTTAGCCATGACATTTCTCCACATTTATTGGCAAATCGTGCTTGTGTGCCTGAGAAGAATGGTACATATTCTGCTAATATTGAGTTCTAGTTGCAGGGATTAGGTGAAATTATACATGCCAAATCCTTACTGATCCTCACTGATGTGATAGAGTTTCAAACTAGTGTTCCTTTATTTCAATGGATGGTTGCATCATACTGGCAGAAGTATTGAATTGGGTCCTGTGCAGTTAGCTCCAATAAATTCTACAATAGGTGCAGTATTTCCCGATGAGGTCAAATATCCTTGTGTGCACTGTTTCCACTCACATGCCTCATTCAGAAAATATAGGTAATCAAAGTGATTTTCACACTGGTGAAAGCCCTGTTTCCATGCTCTACTGAAAATACATGTTATAGGAGTAGATGAGAAGAATTTCTGTGATAAGGAATATTTGAATTGAATGTTGTGTCTCATTTCCAGGATGATATCCATGTTTCCAATGTTTGCTCAATATTACTAAATCCTCCTTATTTTTCACCAAGTCTCAATCAAATACTGTTGACCCTCACTCACATCATTCCCCAGCTATTTTAAAATGCACATACTAAAATTATTTCTTATTAAGCTGAATCATGACCAATCATGACATGCATGTAAGGTACACTTGTTACTAAAAAATAGATATATATAATTATCTTCATGTATCATTTTTTAAAACTCTTGTTTACTTCTGAGCACCAAAGTATGAACTGCACTCGCAACCATTATTCATGTTTTCATTCCTTGTTTGAATGGTTCTGCTGGCAGATTGAATCTGCTGGAGCTGATGTGGCCACCACAAGAGGAGAGACAGATGGAACAGATGGGGAGGAGAACTTGAAGTCTGATGGTGAGGAATCCATTGAGATGGAATTGGGAATGCAGCAATGAAAATGGGTGGTTGTGGACATTTCACATCCAGGTGTTTCAGTTGGACAAATTTTTCTCAGTCGCAGAGCTCATCAACCGAAAAATCAATGCTATTTTGCTGATAATAATGCTGTTATAATATCTGTTATTCTTCCAAATTTCATTGGAAATCTTTTGCCAATAGGTGGGGTCATTATGCTGCATAAATGTATTTGTGCCATGTGATAAGACTTTGGGCGGGGGGGGGGGGGGCTTCACTCTGGGAGTGTAGCACATTCTGCGGACTTCCTAAGCACTGTGATTTCTGTACCAGTTCACTTTATTCCCCATTCTGTTCGGTCAATAAACAGTTTGGGTACTATTTGTTACCTGAGTATTTTCTTGCTTGGTAGCATCTAATGTGGCATCATCACAAGCTTAAACCTGCTTGTTGGCTTCATCTGCTTCATGAACATGACAGGTGCAGGCTTCTCAGAGTTGATTGCATTAACCTTAATGCGAACTTGAGTCAGTCACTTCGGCTGTGGTGGAGGAAAGATTCATGCTATTTTCATTGATTAACGATCCAAATTGTTACACTATGACTAGTAAAACGAGGAAGAGCATCCCAGCTTAACGCCTTTAATACTGACATCACTCTCAAGCAAGCTGAGGAAAGTTTGCTGAGATACCTTCTCCCGGGAAATACTAATGAAAAATATGGGAAGTAATATTCATGCTGAAGGAGGGATTTTCAAGTCAAGAGAAGAGTCGAAGGAGCCTCGACCATGAAGCCTGCTGCCCCAATCACTGTATGTTGCTGAGAACGGGAATTCATCACGAGTCCCGCAGCCCCTTGTCATTTCGTGTCGTGAGGTCGAGGCTCGTTCTTGTGAGTTCGAACCACCCGTTTCTCTAATAGCATCTGTAGTATGCGCGGCACGATCATGTCTTTATAGTGGCACTACCAAGAATATTATGCTTCATCACGGGAGGTAATTAGAGTATCAGTGACTGCAACGATTTTTAACGGTGTTAGTGACTCGAAAAAAAATGCAAGGAAACAAATGGTTCGAATGAGAGGAGTCGCGCGCCTGGGATGGTTGCCGCTAGCATAGTTTGCACACGATGTGCTACGATTTCTCACGTTAAAACGAGCAGAAGTATACTATTATAAGCGACTCCATCAGCGCATGTTAACATCCATCTTTCCGCGCCTGTGCATGGTGATGGAGTGCCATGATGCCGTAGGGGGCGAACGAGTACCGAAACTCAATTCGATGAGGCCGCCGTCCGAAGTTTATCGTCTCCGGACTTTCATTAACCTTTTTATTTGACTATGTATTTGGAAAACCATGCTTCCGACCCTCGTTTGATCGACAGCTACAACCTGTCCTTTCCACATCTCCAAACTCCGAATCCATGTCTGGGTTTGGAAGGGAGTGTTCTAGTTCAGTCACGAACGAAAAGGTCGCATTTTTCATCGGTTGCTCCTGGAATTCTGATCCTTCTAATGCAACTTCTTGGATCCAGAACCACGGGGCATTTAAAATGATCGGAAAGACTAAGCGAGCACCGCACGATCAAGAATAGACTGTGAATCTTTGCCAAATGGGATGTCAACGCCAAGTTGGGACACAGAATGTTGGTTGAATAACAAAAAAGCCCAACCTATCATACGGAGGAGGTAGAAGTATCTTAGAAGTCGCAGAAGTTTCTGTCTGATGCCCTGAACGCTTTTCCATCACAATCTTCCTCTTTCAAATTCGATTTGTTTGGCTTGTTCGGTTTGGTTGCTTAAGAACAGAAGGTTCTGAAAACAAGAGAAATGATTTCCAACAAATGTTGTGAAAGAAAGGAAACCTGTCATAGTAAGCACCTTGAAGGTAAGTGTTAGGAAACTTGATAGAGATTAGTTTTATGAGAGAAAATATTTTGAAAATTTTCGTTTTTCCAAGAACGCACAGGAAATGATAAAACATTTTGAAATTACACATACATGCAAAAGCTATTATTCATGAATTGTCCGGACTGAGTGAAACCACGCTTGCATTCCGACCACTTCCTCCTCCCCGGAAAGCCCTCAATCCTATTGAAAGCGAGGATAGAGGAGTCGAGAGATTCGGCTACTCCGAGTCAATCCTGAGGGAGTGGGGGACTGCTCCCGAGCGATCAAGTTTCGTCCAAACAGGCGGTTAGATGGTTCCTTCACACACGCCTACTACTTGCAATTTTGGAGTTTCTGAATTTCATGGATAGTCTCGAGGCATCGAAAACAACAAACGATGTGCTCGATCCGTTATCCTCTCTCTTGTGGCTGTAACTCATGTGGCAACGGAACGTTTAACCTATGTTCAAATAACGTTTTACTTCAGGTTTTGCCAGCGTTCTATGAACGTCCTTGGGAACGTTCTATTGAATGCTCAAAATTCCGAAATTTAGAGCGATCGAAGACAGTTCAAGTTATGCGTTCCCTGAACGTTCATTTAGGACGTGAATTAAATACTCCCAAACGACATCGAAGGGTTGCAATGCAACCCTTCTCCAATGCAACCAAAGCTCATCTCCCGCGACAGGGGTCATAGGCAATCAGGTAACCAATTATTCTAATTTGAAGTACTATTTTTAATAAATTTAGAATGATGGTTTAAACATTAATGTGTGCGATAGGGATTCCTTGCTCAGGCGCAGAACAATATCTGATATACATATCTGACGACAAGTTCCTTCTCTGCGCCTTAGATCCGTGCGAAGAGAGAGTTAGAGGATGGAAGATGCTCCATCGTAACCACAGAGTAGAGTGTAACTAGAGGCGACGCTCCGAGGGGCAGGGCTTAACCTCCCGAGTTTTGAACCCCTTCCGAGGGAGAGCTTTGAAATACCACACAGACATCTGGTGGCTTGTTATCAACAATACCTCCGTGAAGCGTGCTCTGTGGCAACGGAATCGGGAATCGACTCATTGAAGGATTCGACCCAATGAAAGTAACTCAACGTAATACGTGTATCCGCTGCTTGACCATGGAGGAGTTGTGCGCGTGCTGGGTGGAGGATCGACAGAGACATCTGAATTGCAACCTTGTCATTGAATGGGTTTCAAGCGGAGTGTCGCCAATAGTTACATTCTCTGTTCTATGATCGCAACTCCATCTATTTCCACAGAAGGTGTCGCCTTTTTTGAGAAGCGATGACCTAGATCAATTCCCTTCATTTTCTCCCCCATGAAATCACCTTGGAATAGGAACATATTTCCTCTATAGTATAGCAGTTTTCTCGAGACTCCTTGGACTGGGTTCGCTCGTAAGACCGACTTGTTGAACAATTCAAACTTCCGCAGTGGAAAGATCGGGCACCGCGGGGAATGTATTTGGTACTAACTTTATCTGTATCAGCTATTGACTCGCTCCTTTGGCGTCATCTGTCGTCAGTTGCGTGAACCTAAGTAGCAGAAAAACGTTGAGGAGGCTGCTCAACCCCGGTTCAAAGAGGTTTTTTCACGTTCAAGGTTCAGGGACGAGCAGCTTTTGGACGCTCAATGAAAATGCCGTTTCATCATCAACACATGACGTTGTTGACGGAAGTTCGTTGAACATTAAAGAAGCGCTTTTCTTGAGCATGACTGTGCTATCCATCTGATAGTGGCTGGAAACAAAGAAGGTTCACACAATCGACGCTAGATGACGCCAAAGTACTCGCTATGGATTGTCAGTACCTCATACAGCTGGAATCATCTCCAATACTTTCCTTGAGATGCCCGATATTTTTCCCACGCAAACATCACAGAGGAAGACTTTCGAATTCTTTAATAAATCGGTCTCATGAGGCGCCCCTGTCCAAGGAGTCTCCAGAGAACTCTGTCCCAGAGGATGGAGGAAAGATGGTTCACTTATCAACATGACTTCATGAGAAGAGGGGCATGCAAACATGAAAGAATGACTCTTCATCATTGCTCATATTAATTGGCAAACTCTTGCAGAGAGTGCTTAAAATCTGCTGCGGAGATAGAGAATTTTCTTTTCTCCAATTCCTTCTCCACACGCATCTTCGACGCAGAGGAGGAACAGCTCCTCAGATACATATATCAGAGAGAGTTCTGGCAAGGGAAGGGTTTCTCGTCCGCACGCGAAGATCGAGATGCTATTATTCCCAACTGAGGAAAGGTGGTACTCTCAATTAGAATAATTGTTTACGCGATGGAATATGACCCCTGCCACGGGAGCAGTTCTTTACTTGGGACGAATGCAATCCTTTGATGCTGTTTGAGAGTATTCAATTTACGTCCTGGATGAACGCTCATGGAACGTTGGCAACGCATTGAATAAAACGTTCATCGAACATTCATTAAACGCTCCGGTGCCACTTGGGAACCTTTGATTGATTTTAGCCACTATGCTCTAAGCCGATATGCTCAAGGAAAACGCCTCTTTAAAAGTTCAACGAATGTCCTTGAAAAACGTAATACATTAGTGATGAAATAGCATTTTTGGCGAGCGTCCAAAAGCTGCTCATCCCAGAAGACTGAAGTCCTAGGGCGTCATTGAACACAGGTTGAACGTCCTCTTCAACATTCATGAGTTACTTGGGAAAGGTTGAAATAATCAATTTCATTGCGTGTCAGAGTCAATCTACCCAACATATAAAGGACTTCATGAAAGGATACCAGTATGGGGAGTATCATTTCTAGCATGTCATTCTCTGGAGCCCAGAAATAAGACGACAGGCATTGCACTCCGGAAATTCTATCGGATGTTAATGTCGGTTTTGTGTAAGACGGAGAGAACAGGGTATGTATCACCATGCTTCGATGGGAATGTGATTGGATTTTCCCTAAGCGGCCTGTCGTCCCCAAACTGTTCCCGGGATATGAAGACCTCCCTGGAATACCTCCCATGGTATTTGTATGTTTTAAATGTGATGATTATATTCCATACGACACCACTGCTAGGTAGCCCTCGACATGTCACACGACTTAACGACCTGAAAGCCGGCGCAGCCTGTAAAGGGCTAAACTGAATCGCGCAGATATGAAAGGAATCTCGCCCCGGACAAGCTCATATCAACAGGAAAAACTCGGTGTAATTCTGAGAATCATAATTTTTCCCCCGGTATTTTGAGTGGTTTCCCGTCACATAGATATGGCGGCTGATTAACTCTTGATGATACCACCAACTTGGAATGTAATCCTTATCGAAGTGTAGTGGTAAAGGTTGTTTCAAAAGTGACTGTGCAGTAGACATTACTAGTCTTAGGCAGAAAGAGAAGTCATTTTAAAAAAAAATTATGTTTGTCTTCAAATGCAACAAAAG